TTTACGACGCTTTGTGGTGCTTTGGGGGGTTAAAATCCTTGTCAAGTGTTAGTTGTGGGCCATGGGGTGTGGTGGCACGCCTAGGTGCGGATCCGGCCGTGCCAGCCACCTGGGCCCTCTGCCGTCTGCGGCCTTCCTGACTTTGTCTTGGCACCAGGCCCAGGTGGGGAGGGGAGAGTGCGGTAGATGCAGAGCAAGTCTACTCTCACTATAAACCAAAGTATGCTCGAGTCACCGTGCCTGCTTCACTGTGCTGTGGAGCACACGGTGGACATCGTCAGGTAAGGCGGTCAAATTGTCAGGTTACCGTTGAGATGAGGGATAGAGTTAGGATACGGGAGTAGGTGCCCCCTTAGACTTATTGCAGGGCCATCCGTAGAGCTGGGGAACTTCATCCCCCTCGACGCCCTCTCAATTAACTATAATTTCATGCTCCCTTAACGTCCGTCTTCTGTTGACGCAGTAATGAAATTCATTGCTGAAAATCAATCAGCGAATAAGAAATACCTAGCATGAATAGTCTCATTCACCCCAAGAGAGGCGGAGGATAAGGGACATAACCGTCGGCCTCTGAGCTAAACTAAACTTTTGACCTATGTCCTCTTTATCTTTCGGAAAAAGTGACAGGCAGGCGTTTATGCGGAACAAAATTTCCGATACAAGCGAAGATGAGAGTTCCAGGATCAAAATTTGCTCAAAAACGAAAAAGGCACGAGGGAGGATGGCAGAAGGAAGCGCTGCAAGAAACAGCGGAAGAACTGTCGGCGGAGACATTCAGTGACCGAGTATTCCGCTGACTGATATCACAACAGGCAAGGTGCCTATAGCGCTCTCTTTCTAGTCCTCTCCGCGCAAGACCAACCTCTTCCAGCACGACTCACTGACGATTGTGATCTTAATGGCGTTGAAGAGGTGGTTCTGTGCCATCTAACTCGGGAATTCCCCACTGGTGGTGGTCATCGAAATATTAATTTTTGACCTAAATCTCCCAAAATACCGACTCAGATGGAGTAACCTCTGTGAATTCGGTAATCGAAGTCAACTAGCCTAATGGAGTTTCTGTCGGGCAACCTGTAGAGGTTGTCAAAAAGATTTCAACATCAAAGTTGGTACACGAACTTGTGCAACATTACGGTCATCTGTTGGTCATGAGGGCTAAAGAGGACCGCTCAAATCTTCAAATTGCCACTGAGATTTGTAATAAGGAGTAGCGCACGTTTACAAATGATGACCTTTTTATTAATGAAAAACACTTATAACATAGGGTCAGCTGCCCTCAATCAGTCAGTGGACGCGTTAATGTAGAAGAGATTGACAAACTTACGTCCAATTAATCGTCACTGGTTGTTTCGTCACAGAACGTGACCACTGACGCAAGCCTATTTCTTTATTGCGGCAACCATTTTTCCTTATTGCACTCAACCTCAATTTATGTTCAGATGCTGCGGTTTCCCCCACAAACCTTTTGGAACATTTCCTATGAATTGAACACGCACAAGGCGTCATCTGCTCTGTGCGCGCGCGCAATCGAACATGGGGTTTGTTGAGAAATGAGGGTCACATTTTGCGCTCAGAGGTGTTTTTTAAAGTTCATTTCATCAACGCCGGGTAGAACCCACGTTGTGCCTCATTTGGGAGATCCTATTTCAGCATTCACATGCTCGATGTGAGTTGAGTCGGGTCTCCAGCAGCGGAAGGCGTACCTCTCGTGAATCGGCATCTGACAGTCCGTTTCCTTCTAGAATGTTCAGCTGCTTCCTTTTCCCTCAGAGCCTTTCGTGACTTATGATGATTTACAAAGATTCGTCTTACAAAACTTTGCGATGCGAGATATCATTATAGCGGTTTCGAGGAAAAAGGACTCTTCGCGCTCGGCAGTTTCATCGTGAATGTGTGACAATCCGCTCACCTGATCGCCACCGCTTTGTCACGCTGCCCTTCTACTTACCTCACGCTCCCTCTTGACCCGCTGTTGGGACCGCGTGCGACTTGTCGTAAGCCTCGCTAGGGCTCGAAGCCAATCAAGGCGGATTCTTCAGTGACTGGCTACAGGCAGGAACAACTCAGACTGGACAGAGGTAATCACAGGCGCTGGGGCTAAGACCCCTAACGACGGACACCAATACAAACAACTTGCCTGAAGAGACAGCTTGCGGAAGCCGCAGGCTGAGCCTGCAGTACGCTCACCCACAACAGTAAAGTCTGACCGAGCCGATACATCTTCCCTGACTTGTGATTTGGGAATTTTCGCATTGTCGACCATTGGGAGCTCTCGTGTCAACTCAAAATTCCGAAAAATTTTCCGACTGTTTACAATGGCTGACCTTTAAATTGAATAACCAGCAGGAGAGCCCTGGCATACGTAACGTCAGAATATAGACTTTAGCTCTGCAGTACGTAAATCCCTCCCCACCTTTCTGATCGTAGCTTCTCAACCTTCGCCCTTCAGCACGTGAACCACCCCATGACATAGTTTGTACTTTGTCCACACAATGATTTTCAGCGCGAGCTAGGCTCCTCACAGCCACTGTGTCTTATGTCAGGCTCAATCGTAACAAATGCCAACTTATCCGATTACGATCGAGGAACAGGAGGCCGTTGAGATTTGAATCTGACTACTTTATAGGAGGTCACCAACTCGAATCAGTCAACGTGTTAAGGGACCTCGGTGTGTGGATGACGTCAACTCCCAAACCATCGTCTCACTGCGCCAAGACATCAAAGAAAGCTATGGGTATCCTAGGCACGATTAGAAGATCCTTCGTCAATTTTGATGAAGAACTTTTTGGCCGCGTAATTGGAACATTCGTTCGACCAATGTTGAAATATTGTGTTCAGGCATGGTGTCCCTGGACGAAACAAGATTACACCCTACTGGAGAACGTACAACGAAGAGCGACCAAGCTAGTCGGCGAATTAAGTTGCTTGCCTTACGAGAGACGTCTGGAAGAGTTAAACATATTTCCTCTCTCTTATACACAATACAGAGGGGATATAATCATGGCCTTTAGGATCGTCACAGGGCTAGACTGTGCTCTTCCGTTTGACGATTTCTTCGAACTAGCGCGGACGACCAATATTCAAGGCTACCAATACAAATTGAAGCTAAAATAGACCCAAACTCGAATTGCGGGCAAACATCTTCTCCCACCGACTGGCTGGAGGATGGAACGAATTTCCGAAGTCCGTTGTCTTAGCGGAAAACGTCGAGACCTTCAAAAGAAGACTAGATAAATTCATGCTTGATGGTCAAACATTTACACGATGTCAATGACTGGCATAACTACTATGTAAATATCTGCTTGTTTTTTATGCATCTATCTGTGAATAGGGTTTTCCAAGGCTCTGCCTATATCCCTCATATGTACTGAATTACTGAATTGTAGGCTGTTATCAGTAGACCACGAGCTAACGAACAAATTTCCGATGCTGAGAAAAACTGTGTTCCTGAGATGCTGTTTTTTCCATATATAGCTTTAATGTGTTGAGTTTGAATGCCACAGAGCTCCACACAACGGACGCCGCACCAATGACTTGCATATGGAGTAGTCTAGAGTAGGGAAAACTTGAGTAGCATTTACAACCTTCTCCCCTACCTTACCCACCAGGACCCGATTGTGGGAAATGTCAAAACGACCGTAAGTAGACTGGGGCGCAGTGGCCAACAAAACTAAACAACGCGTCTGCGCATGCCACACTCGACACGTATTCTGCGCGGAATTTGCAAGGAAGATGTTGTCGAAACTGTTCGACAGCCGGTCACTATTGGCGGGCCCAGCATTCACTGAAGCAGGTCTTGGGGTGAGTTAGATGCGAGCCTGTCTGCATCATCCGTACTGGCCGGACATTAGTAGGTACCGCGGTGACAGAGTGTGACCAGGCGCGCTGATCACATCAAACAAGGTCTCGCAATATCAGATGAATGAACTGCTGTTGATACGAAAGCAGATGCATACAGCAGCTGCCGGAAGTAGTGCCTCCATAGATCGTCCACAAGTAATGCACTTTTGACTGTAAACAGATTTCTCAAAATCTATTTCTGTCTGCGTATAAATATACTTTTGTGATTTGGGCAGAATGTTATTACTGACAAAGACAAGGGAGATTGGAATGGCAATGTCTGGCTTATTAGCCGTCGTGAGCCAGTCAAAGCCAATCTCGATGTGTGGAACACATGGGGCTCGACCCCGCGACCTGTTAGCTTGAAGTTAAACGCCCCTAACCACCAAGCCAAGGGCTTGTTGTCCTGTCGGTTTCGATCGGGAATGTACAATGGTAGAGGGGCGCTCACCGATCGTTCTTATGAAAGTCTCTCGTCCTGTTGTGCCTTACGGGCTCTCTCTCTCGAGCCCAGACCAGCAGCCGCACAGCCGCGCACGATATAGGCCGAATGGTATTACCGACAAAGACAAGTGCTTAGAGGCGTTGAACTTCACTAACAGGTCGCGAGTTCGAGCCTCGGGTGTTCCACATTCGGGATTGGGTATGACTGGCTGACGACGGCTAATAAGCCAGAAGTGGCCATTCCAGTCTCCCTTGTCTTTGTCGGTAATGCCATTCTGCCCATATCCTGCGCTGCTGTGCGGCTGCTGTTTGGGCTCGAGATGGAGCCCATAAGGCACAATGGGACTAGGGAGTTCTGTAAGAATGATCGATGGGGGTCCCCTCTAACACTTTTGTGATTTTCAGCAGAAGTATCAACCACGAGTAGACAGGGTTATTCGAAATGATGTTAAATTTCTAAGAACCAGAAGACTCTTTCGAAGTCTATCCAATCCAACCGAACTTCATCGAACAGCTGTGGGAAAGGAGGCTTTACGGACGATGGATGGGTAAATCGGTAGATATTTGTAGTTTTTGCAAATATTTCTAACCATAAAACGAACCACAGGTATGATCATCATTTGGGGATGATCCGAGTGCTCCTCCAAGATTGCCACGCGAGACTTCACAAGTACCGTCAAAGGATTGACCAAGAAAAGACCAGATGCTGTGAGTTCATGGGTGAGATCGGTACAAATCTGCTCCTGCAGAGGATAGCTGAACAAGCCCGCGAACAGAGAATGACACGCGACGCAGCACTGGAGAGCAAATTCCGAAAGCTGCCCAATCCAACGTCGCCCAGAAATGACAAACTGGTGCACAACCTGTCGTCAAAGGAGCTGACGAAGGATCAGATGCAGGTTTTAAGACACGAAGCTTCATTAAACACGACTGACGCCAAACCTGTTAACATGATTGCAGCAGTCGAATCAATTCTTTGTCAGACGGAGGCAACGGAGGAGACTAAGAGTCTCATCCGACACCAAGTGTCGTCTCTCCTAATGGCCCACAGGCCGCGGGAAGTGCTTTCCAAAGTCGAACGTGGTGCGCTTAGAGAACTCAAGGCCGACAACGACTTGGTCATCGTGCCAGCGGACAAGGGGCGCTCCACGGTTGTGCTGGACAGGGCAGACTACCTTCAAAAAGCCAAAGGTTTGCTGGAGGACCGACAATTCTATGTCCCATGTGCAAAGAACCCGGTAAAAAGCGTTGACACGCGAAATTAATGCTACGTTTTTGGCCTTTGAGAACTCAGGAGCAATAACACCGACCGACAGACGCATGGCGAGACCCCAAGATACGGCTTTGGCCCGATTCTATGGCCTCCCTAAGGTGCACAAAGACGGCGCTCCTCTCCGACCTATCGTGTCGTTCAAGGGTACTCCAAAGTACGGACTGGCTAAGTGGCTGTTCCGGCGTCTCAAGTTCCTGACCGCTGAGTCAGACACCACGGTCTCTTCGTCGGCACAATTCCTGGAGAAACTCAAAGGGGTAAGCCTCCATCCAAACGAGGTCATGGTATCTTTTGATGTTACATCCCTTTTTACTTCTATTCCCCAGGACCTGGCGATCGAGACAATCGAGCTGCTTCTTCAAAGCAAATACGATGAAACGGAGAATCGTCCTGGACGCGCCCAAGTCCTTCAGCTCCTGAAGTTCTGTCTCAGGACGTACTTCACGTTCGACGGGACAATCTACGAACAGGTGAAGGGCACACCAATGGGTTCGCCGATTTCGGGATTCATCGCCGAGGCGGGCGTGCAACGGTTAGAGTCGCTGGTCTTCCAACACCACAAACCGAAGTTCTGGACCCGGTATGTGGATGATACCTTCGTCGTTATTGACCGGGATCAACTGCTGACATTCAAGGAACGTCTGAATGCAGTCTTCCGGGACATACAATTTACGATGGAGGAGGAAGAGAACAACCAGCTGGCCTTCCTGGATGTCCTCGTATGCCGCAAGGATTGTGCTGGACTAAAGACCAAAGTGTTCAGGAAAGCGACAAATACGATGCAAGTACAGAACTTCAACAACAACCACCCAATCAGCCATAAACGCAGTTGTGTAAGGACGCTCTATCGGCGTGTCGAAACGCACTGCAGTGAGCCGGAAGACAAGACTGCTGAACTACAATACCTCCGACGGGAATTTAAAGCCAATGGCTACCCGCGCAACTTCGTCAACCTGTGCATACGCAAAATGGACGAAAGGCCTAACCGCACGGACACCAAGGTTTGGCGAGCGCTTCCATATGTTAAGAACGTTTCAGAAGCTGTTGGCCACCTTCTCGCACCACTTGGGGTTAGAGTTGCACGCAGGCCGGAGGCAACTATCAGGCGTCAGGTAATGAAACCAAAAGACCCACTGCCACGGCAAGAAACGTCTGGAATCGTTTATCGGATCTGGTGCAGTTGTGAAAAAAGCTACTACGTCGGAGAAACCGGAAGACATCTCCGAACGAGAATGACCGAACACGCTGCAGTGGTGCGGAGGAAGGACGCCAGCTCTCAAGTTGCAGCTCATTCGACGGGTTCCGGCCACACATTCAAATTCGACGAGGCCGAAATTCTCGCAAGAGGTGACAACCGCGTGAGCCGGGGCTGCTTGAGTCATGGTTTACTGGCCCCCAGTCAATTAACAAGTGCTACGATCTTCCCATTCCATACTCCGTGCTGAAACTGCGTCTAGGCGGAGTAATTAGCCACGCGGGGAGCCCACTGTTAACCACTCTTCCCAACACCCGGGTCAGCGCGTTAGATGGTAGAGCAATCATCACACCAACAACCAACGCACGTGATGAAATTGCAGCAATTAACGACGAGAATGTCGGCCATCACGCCACGTGCAACGATCCCTGATGAAGGGGATGAAGCCGTGAACATTCATAGGTATGCGGTAGCATGGCTACTGCATCCCATAAATACTGCAGCCCCTTGTGCATGAATCACACGTATCTGCTTTTGTCTCTGATGATGGGTTTGAGCAGGAATCCGAAACGTCAGGCTAATAAAACTATTGTGCCGGCGATCGTGTCTTCTTCTTCAAAAAAGGTCTTACCAGCAGCCCTCGAGGGAGTAATGAAAAGGTCGGAAAATGACTGGTCGTTAGTGAAGCCCAGAAAAAAATGCTCCTTTTTCGAGAATCCGGGAAATTTGATGACCACGCCGCAGTTTTGCCCATAGAAACTAGTCAGTTAGCCTGTTCCCATTCAGTATCAGCGCTGTAAATGTGTGAATGTAAATTTTGAGACCGCACACATGGATAATGCGGACCAGGGATTATAAACCCAAGCGGCCAAGTAATCGAGGCAGTTCATTTTCGAAAACGGCATTGTTTATACTGCTGGGCAGCTGGGGATTAGAGCTTGGGGTGCACTGGCAGCTACTATTAGCGTCAATTGACCATCTTCTCATTGCGGATTATATAGACTTTGCAAAACAGGCCCACATTCACACAGCATTTCTTCAATTTACTTTATAAATTCGTTCATCTAAGACTAATCAGAATTCATACCTTAACTGACGTGTTTACTATGAGGCATTTTTTCCGCCATTTAGAGTGGGAGCGAAGGAGAATGGGTCTGGCATAGAAAAAAGGCAGTATTGGCTCAGGGATGAATGGCTAAACCCGGACTCGCATTGTAAATGTCATAATAAAATAGCTATTAACAAGAATAATTTAGTCCTCTTCATGCAGTGCCCGCAGTTAGTCCACGTGATAAAGAACAGCTCACAAAAGCCGATTGCGTCATTGGGTGAAGCATCAGTAGTGCTACGAGTGTGGGAATAAACCTTGAACAGCGTTTAAACAGTTCACTCGTCTGGAATTCAAGGGTCAGACAGTCGTCACCTAACGCAAATCAGCAAATCATCTTTGGCAGGAACATGTGAAAGTCTGAGAATATGCCCTACGTAAGAAACGAAGAAAGTCGCAAAATTCGAGATTTAAGGCTTCGAAGTATTTCCAACAGTTTGTGACACACTATTAATCAAGAAATAATTGTTTAGAATTGAATCACAGCTTTATTTTATGCCGAAATTTCCGATGTGACTTCAGCTCGGCTAAACTGGTCCCAATGCATGAATTGGTTCTATGGCATCAGTTTTTATATTTTACGTCAAATCAATATACTGTTTCAGTTAAGGGGAAATTTCTCTTCTTCGGTTGTCTACTACACAGGTAGTTAATAGCTTTATGTGGTACCCTGGTAGTTGGACAGCTCCTAGAGGTGATGCGATGCCGGAGTCCTCTCTTTTACCAGTGTTTGAGAACACGGTACTCTCTTGTCTCTGCTACATATCGTTGCTCATATATAAAATATTAAAGCGTCTTGCGTTTAACGACCATGCCAGTGGATATGCTAAGGATGTAGCCTTCTTTATCATGTCAGATATAACCACTAGTTGCAAGTGTTAGCACTCGGAAGTATATTTCCTCAACCCTGGGTTGCTCAAACTACTGCAGTTTGATCCTGTTATCAGGCGTCTCAACTCTCTTCAGCATTATTCATGCCATCATACTTCTGTTGTTTGCAGGAAATCAGTCAAAATTAATCTCTTAATATCCTGCTTTGCCAAAAGGTCTATATTTGGGAGGATCGGACTTGTGTACACTAGCAATAATGCTTTCTGTACCCCATTTGTCCCTGTCACTGCGTCTTTGAGTCCTTCGAAGAAGGATATTTTGGCACATGTTAAATTCGTAAAAAAACCTCTCTAAGTGTCTTTTTTTCAACTGACCAAAATATCTTTCCAAAGGCATCCAATCTTTGGATCTCCGCCACACAAGTTGTAAGTTACGGCCTAAAATCCCCCTTTTCGTCTACTTTTTGAAGTATGCCGATGGTTTCACAGTTTTATCCAATTAGAATGCCTGTAGCGACTCAAGCACGCATAGGCCTTCCGCCTCTGACACATGAATCATGTGAGCTCGCGGCCCACGAACTGGTAGATCGGGCCTTCATGTGGCCTCTAGAACAGCAAATCACAGGTATAACACAAACCCGTCCCTCACCCTATCAGCTGACCAAGCTGACGTTTACCGACTCTCCCATGACAGTTTGACCGTCGTCGCCATCGTTGTCCAACATCCTTATTCCGCCTTGCCCCGGAGCAGGGACGGTGACTCGTGCGTGAGTTAGTTTATAGTGATTTTAGACTTGAAGAAGGAGACACGATCACAGCGACAAGAGCGTTATTGGCCTGACGTTTCGGATTCCTGCTCGAACCCATCATCAGAGACAAGGCAGATTGGGGTGGTTCATGCACAAGGGGGCGCAGTATTTATAGGATGCAGTAGCCATGATATCGCATACCTATAAATATTCACTGCTCCCCCCTTCATCAGGGATCGTTGCACGTGGTTTGATGGCCGACATTCTCGTCGTTAATTGCTGCAATTTCATCACGTGCGTTGGTTGTTGGTGTGATGATTGCTCTACCATCTAACGCGCTGACCCGGGTGTTGGGAAGAGTGGTTAACAGTGGGCTCCCCGCGTGGCTAATTACTCCGCCTAGGCGAAGTCTCAGCACCGAGTATGAAAGGGGAAGATCATTGCACTTGTTAATAGACTGGGGGCCAGTAAACCATGACCCAAGCAGCTCCCGGCTCACGCGGTTGTCACCTCTTGCGAGAATTTCGGCCTCGTCGAATTTGAATGTGTGGTCGGATCTCGTTGAATGAACGGCAATTTGAGAGCTGGCGTCATTTCTCCGCACCGCTGCAGCGTGTTCGACTATTCTCGTTTAGAAATGACTTCCGGTTTCTCCGACGTAGTAGCTTTGTCCGCAACTGCACTAGATCCGATAAACGACTCCAGACGTTTCTTGCCTTGGCAACGGGTCTTTTGGTTTCATTACCAGACGCCTGATGGTTGCCTCCGGTCTGTGTGCAACTTTAACCCCAAGTGGTGCGAGAAGGCGGCCGACAGCTTCCGAAACGTTCTTGACATAGGAAAGCGCTCGCCAAAATTGGGTGTCCGTGCGATTAGGCCTTTCGTCCCTTTTGTGTATGCACCGGTTGAAGAAGTTGCGCGAGTAGCCATTGGCTTTGAGGACCCGTCGGAGGTATTGTAGTCCGGCAATTTTGTCCTCCGGCTCACTGCAGTGCGCTTCCACACGCCAGTAGAGCGTCCTTACACAATTGAGTTTGTGGCTGATTGGGTGGTTGCTGTGGAAGTTCAGTAGACTTGCACAGAATCTACCGCACTCTCTCTTCCCCACTCCCACCTGGACCCGGTGTCATGACAGGGTCAAGATGACCGGAGGTGGGGGGGGGGGGAGGTGCAGGTGACTGTCACATGAAACATACATTCACGCCCACCTCCCCGTGGCGAACGAATGCGCGTGCGGGCTCAGGGCCGGTTGTGCGTCGAGGGGCCCCGACCACCATCTAGTATCTGTACGGAATACACGTCTACCGTAGGCGTCTCTTCCCCCTTTCTTTAAAGTAGCACTGGGCCGTGACTATAGAGTGGCGCTCTGGGCACACCCACTGCTTCCACACTTGAGATGTTTAAAGGGCGTGGACGACAGGTGTTTTACTATCAAACATTCTTTCTGCGTAGCGCATGATATCCTGTGATATCTTGTGGGGAAACTATGACTTCCCCCCACCTCTGGTTATCTGAAACCCTCAACCCTGAAACAAGGGAATGCCTCAATTTTTACAGGAGTCTTTCAAAACCCCTCCCAACCAATACAACTGATTCAAAGGAAGAGGCAAATTTTCGAAAAGAACTGTTACCCTGAGTTGCCGGCATTCCTTTCAAGAAGATCCGGCAGATCCACCTGATTGAGAGAGGAACCCTTGTGACCCTCGGGCCCAACTTCCAGGGGTTCCGCCGGGAGAAGGCTTGAAGTCAGCTCTATGAGTATCTTGCCTACAATCTAACGAATAAAAACTGAGGTGGAGTATCATCATCAGCAGCAGTGGACTAATGACTGCACTCTTCGGCATACGATCCTGCCTACCTCGCCCTGAGTGCTGATGATCGGTGTCAGGTAGGAGAATTCCGTGACGAAGAGGAGACATCGAAGGTAGACGTTGGCCACGCCGATGAGAACGAGGTCGCCTTTGCGGGCGAAGGAGTTTCCGGTTGGTTGGCTTGTCTGAAAGAGTTAAAAGAAAGGTATCTCAGACCAGCGCGGCGGTTTATAAATGTTATTTTCTTCTGCTTATCCTCTGCCTTTCAGGGTGACCCAAGGGGTTCATTGTGATGAGGGGTAGTTATGCCAAAAGGCAGTATTCTGGACCTGCCAGAGGGGGCATAGTGCTTTCATTTATCTGTGGAAGATTGACTTCTGGGATGGGTCTACTAGTGGCGACAACTAAGCCATTGTCATTAATCTGAAAATGGCTAATACTAACTGCATCTACGGTCGATTAGAATGCAGTGAGAGAGAGAGAGAAGTGTTGATATTTACTCTTTGAAGTGTTATACATTTATCGAAGACGCTCCATACGTACGAATTTTAAACTGCAGTTACGTTTATAGAACGTGTAGTGGCAGAAACGATCAGCAGTTAAAGTCCCGGAAGTATTTCCAAAGGTCGATTTCAGAAAACAGCATGATCTGACAGTGGTATAGGATGGGCTCTCTCTGTCTCACTGGATCTTTGTTTACTGAGCAAATTCTTGTTTATAATCGGGAAAAACCTCGTCAGAATATTAAAGGAAGGACCTGCCTGTCTGCCTTTTGCCTTTTCAAAGAACCCCAGTATTAAAGTCGGTTTCGATGAAACCAGTAGTCTGCGATTACCTTGCACTGCGCACCCTGATGCCCTCCCTGTCGGAAAAACACCTGTTCGTGAGTGGAGGGGGAGTTTGCTGTGGAGCTATCACCGGTGTATGCCTGCTTGTCGTTGTCACGGCTGCTCTCAAGGTCACGGATGTTCTCCTGCATTCTGGCCAAACTGAATGAACGCAGTCGGGCACCGCCTCGCTGGACATCAATGACTGGTTCGCATTGCAGTGCTTGGGTGCCCTAGAAGGAGACAGGAGCGGAAGGATGAAGGGGAGGGGCTTGCCGCTGTAAATATAGAAGCACTGTTGTGCCATTCGTATTAAATGCCTTGCGTGCCACAAGTTTGGCTACCTTTTCATGAAACGCTCCAATTTACCCTTCTTAACCCAAAAGGGCACTTTCTGCCGTCAGATTGACCGTTCAGACAGACGACTCAATTGGACGCATAAATAATCGTAAATGCCTCTTATCATTCAACGGTGATCTCGTGCTGTTGGTTGGAAAAGGCACCTGGATAGATCGTTGTCGTTCGGACTTTTACATTTGTCAATTCACTCACACAACAACGTGAAAAGAAGAAGAAGAAGAAGAAGGATGGTCGTGTACCGGAAAATTTTTGTTTATCGTTCTGAGTCTTCGAACTCATGTAGTAGTCTATCGTCAGAGGTAGTAGCAGCAACAGAACAGGGGGCAGTTATAGGGTGTGTAAGTAAATCATCGACCGACGGCGCAGGACTGGAGGGGACTGAACAGGGCTCTGTACGTCGGCGCCAGATCGACAAATCGATTGACTGAGTTCTCATCCGAGGACCAGGATCCGTTCAATTCAATTCACCTCCAGTCTTGCGCCGTCGGTCGATGATTGGCTAACACATCTTATAATTATCCTTTGTTCTGCCGCTGCTAATTTCTCTGGCAATGGACTGCTGCACGAGTTCGAAAGCTCAGAACAATAAACAAATGTTCCGGTGCTCGTCCATCCGATTGCACTACAGAACTCACCCTTCCCGTTGTGCCTTGGGGCCCATTCTCGGGCCCCGCCAACAGCCGCACAGTGGCGCGGAATACAGGCAAAATGACATTAAAGCATTGGACTCCTGATCAACAGGTCATGGGGTCGAGCCCAAGGTGCTGCACACCTCAGGGTTGATTGTGGTTGGCCGACGACGTTTAGCAGGCCAGAAATGGCGATTCCAGTCCCCCTTGTGTTTGTCAATTATGTCATAGTGCTTTTCTTTGAAGATGAGATTTACTCATCCTTTTTATCGATCTTAATTACAATTTAGGCAGTCACACTGGGATTTATGTGTCAGTCTCCATCCCTCAAGCCGAGACGGACCCCAAATTTGTCTACTCAAACCGTTTAAGGAGACCAGGGCAGATTTTCTCCAGACAGTAAACTCACGCGCTTTGCCTGGTTGAGACAACTGATGGGAACCTGGAGGGAGACCTGGTAGTGCAGTCCTAAGCGCTGCTCAGTCGACAACGAGTTGGCGCGTTCAGTGAGCATGACAGCCTGCACTAGTCGATCCCGGACGTCCTCAAAGTCAGGTGTATTTTCGGAAGCCCTGCAAATTGAAAATAACGGAACAGACAGGGATTTCTTCAATGAGCGAAAACACT